TCTGCTTCGTTTGATATATCCCTGAGTTAACGATCTGCTAATATCCCTTCCTCGCCTTGTTTTTATTCCCATACCATCTCACATATCTCTCTACCTACTCCCTATGCTCCTCCCATCTACAGTCTCTTTCTTTCTACGTGTTTACCTCTCTTTCATCAGCTAAAAGTTTAGACCATGTCAAGCAAACAGCCATCCAGCAAGCACATCTTACCCATCTACCACAGACCAGATTGAGAAAAAGCGTGCCTACCTATCTACCTCCCTTACCTGCCACATACCTACATAAACACCTACCGATCCAGTTAGTTACGTCTTATTTAGCATGCTAGCTTGCCTTTTGTTAGGTTATTATTCTACTTGTCGTTTTTTACCTACCATTTCTTTACTCTTTTAGGGTCTTCATAGAACTGTTCAATTAGCTGTATGAACTTCCTTGAGTAACCTGGCTGTCTGCCTGCTTATTATGTTCTTGCATCTAAATAGAATATCTATCATACGGGGAGTCCTCGGGTCTGACATGTACGACAGGCTGACGCACGACATCGATGCCTAGATCTATATCTCTGCCCTACCCCTTATCTTGCACACACACACACACACAGAGAGAGAGAGACGCACGCACGCACGCACAGCCAGCGGACCCTTAAACGTCCATCTTATCATCCTTCTCTTCCGCTTTTTCTTCTTCCTTTTCTCCTAAATTAAGGAGGCTGTGCCAGTCACATGACATGGGGCTTGAAAAAAGGGTACGCAGTCGATAGAAGCCCGACGGTCAAGAAGAATACGCGAGGAGACCGTAGAAAGTAGATGATAAAGGGGAAAAGAGACGGAGACGGCGTGACAAGGCTGTGCGGGTGTCACCAGGCTGTGCGGGTGTCACCAGGCTGTTTGCTGGGGTACCTGAAGAGAAACTCCCGGCACAGAAGCAGAGGTTGTGTATATATATAGCAGCAGGAGGTTAACTTACCATCTCCCGCCTTAAGGGCCCAGCGGGCGACGGATGACAGGCTGCCTGGCGTTTCATAGGCAGCACGCAGAGTCAGCGACATCCAGGCCAGGCAGACAGGCGCTTAGCTCGGAGACAGGCTGACTCTCGTCGCTCTGTTTCAAACAACGGTTGCACTTGATAGTGGTAAGTAACCAGGCAGAAGAAGAACGGCCAGTGATGTAGATACTCCTGACTCTTCCATGTAAACGACAGTTCAGGGACGGGCAGCAACAACGCCAGCATCCACAGTAACTCGTGTAGCACTCTAGAATAGGAGTAGCCAAGGGAGAAGAGGCCACCGGTATGCCGTCATCTCCATCAGGGCGCGTAGAGTAGAGGCGCAGAGGAGTAACTAAAGGCGCCCTGCCTGGCTGGCTGTCAATGTCACAGTTAGCGCTGGGAACGGGGGGGGCTGCTCTGCTCGCTAACAAGGCAGAAGCCGGCCAAAGAAGACGAGCAGACGACGATGAATAAATAAATAGAGGCGCCTCTGCGTCTTCTCTTCTCCTCTTCCTCTTCCTCTCTCGCCATCGTCTCTGCTCTGCTCCTCTGTGGCGGTCCAAAGTGCTGCTAAAGCGACCCTCTTGCTGCCCTGTCGTGCCTAGCCAGACCCATCGTCATCTTTTTTTTCCCACACATCTTTCGCCCTTCGATCTTCGTTCTTCTTCCTCGTCCGCCAACTTCAGCACCAAACAACAACAACAAGAAGAACCACACCACAACCAACAACAACCCGTCAGCGCTCGCACAACTCGACCCTCTCTCCCAACAGGACTCAAACTCGTTGTCTTTCGTCGTTCTGCTGATACACCGTGCTGTACTCTACTCTCATTTCCTTGTGACTCGCAAACTACGTCGATTCCGCCGTTCAATATGACATCTGAGGTATGTCTTTTTTTACCCCTCCCACAACCCGTCCCTCGCGTCCGACAGAGACGCTGCAAGACCGGCAGAGCCAGCCGGGTTTGTTTTGATCTGCTGTTTTACTGCTTTGAAATACTCTGATACTGATGTCTCTTGACTTGTTTTTGCAGCGTGAGAGGTAAATGATGGATTCCCGCGGGACCCTCTCCCTTTTTTCTGCCTTGGATGGCCTGACTGACGGACGAGCAGCAAAACTTTCCTCGCGAGGCTCTGTGAGCAGGCCGAGCGCTACGATGGTAAGATAGTGACCTCTCAGGGCGAAGAGACGGCCTTTTCTTCGCCCGTTCTGCCCGCGTCGTTGGATGGTTTGCTGACTGTTTGGTCTCTGGTGGCCGTGAACAGAGATGGTTACGTACATGAAGGTAAGCCAGCCCAAGTCACATCCACCACGCATCACGCATCAGAACACTGCTAACAATCTCTTCAGGAAGTTGCCAGCGTATGTTTGACTCCTCCCGTTCACGTCTGGGGGTGCATATTCGACGTGATCCATCTATCTATCCCCTGGGGTCCCTGGCGATAAGAACTAACCCTGCCTTGCCACATTCTCTAGCTCGGTGGTGAACTCTCGGTTGATGAGCGCAACCTCCTCTCTGTCGCGTATAAGAACGTCGTTGGCACCCGTCGTGCCTCATGGCGCATCATCTCCTCCATCGAGCAGAAGGAAGAATCCAAGGGCTCTGAGAAGCACGTCCAGGCCATCAGCGAATACCGCCAGAAGATCGAGCAGGAGCTCGAGCGCGTCTGCCAGGATGTTCTCGATGTCTTGGACCAGTCTCTCATCCCCAAGGCCGAGTCTGGCGAGTCCAAGGTCTTCTACCATAAGATGTACGTCTCCTTAATTCTGCGAAAGATAAAAAAAAAAAATGTATACTCATGCTCTACTACAGGAAGGGTGACTACCACCGTTACCTCGCCGAGTTCGCTTCTGGAAACAAGCGCAAGAACGCCGTCACTGCTGCCCACGATGCTTACAAGGTCAGTGCTTTACCTTCCGGGATCCAGGATCTCCCCCCTTTTTCTCCGTTTGCTGGCCTCAATCTAACGTGCGTAGAACGCCACCGATGTCGCCCAAACCGAGCTAACCTCCACTCACCCAATCCGCCTCGGTCTCGCCCTCAACTTCTCCGTATTCTACTACGAGATTCTCAACTCCCCAGACCGTGCCTGCCACCTTGCTAAGCAGGCTTTCGATGATGCCATCGCTGAGCTCGAGTCCCTCTCTGAAGAGTCTTACCGTGACAGCACCCTGATCATGCAGCTCCTGCGCGACAACTTGACCCTCTGGACCTCATCTGAAAGCGGTGAGCCTGAGCCAAACATGCCTCAGGGTCAGCAAGCTCCTACTGAGGGTGCTACCGAGGAGAAGAAGACTGAGGAGGCCCCCGCAGATGATGCTGCTGCCAAGACTGAGGAGCCCGCCGCAGCTACCGAAGCTAAGAAGGAAGAGCCTGCTGCTGAATCCTAAACGGCGATTCCAGCAGTCAGAACCCCAGGCTTTACGGGTGACCGAACCGGCAAAACGGCAGAGATTATGAACGTAAAAAATTAACCAATATAAAACAAAAAAAAAAATTCCAAAAAAAAGTCCATATCTCGCCTTCCCATCGTCCCGTCTAGCCTTGATCTGTGTTCTATCCTTGTGTCCCATTTTCACTTATTACAATATTCCCAACATCCGACTTCCATGCCAAATTCCCCCATCTTTTTCCTTTGCCTTTCCTTTTATCTCAAGGGTTGTCTTATCTTCTGCTGGATCGGCGGAGTTTTTAAAGCACTTGGAGAAAGACTTTATGTCTGGACAGATCGGAATCCCCCTGTTATTTCGTTACACTACCCCCTAAATTACCCACTGCCTTCACTTATCCCCCTACCCCATACCACATAACACACCACACCACACACATTGCCCCTATTCCACTGGCGCCGCTATCCAGTCTTGTCCTGCTTGTTGTCCTCGGAGCTTTGCGGTCCTGCTGAGTCAGCTATGCATCACATAAATACCAGTAACATGACCCTAACAAACTTCCTTCTGAACCAAGTTACTGCTTTCTGCTCTGATGTGCTGTCGTCACGAGCACCATCTATGCCGCTGGAGTAGATATTTGTGAATGCATAAACGGTTAATATAGTAGCTTTCACAGTGACAAGTTTATTATAGAAACAAAGCCTCTTTATACATATTCAGTGATTTCTATAGATCAGTAATTAGTAAGGTCCTGGTTGAGGCTTGTTGTATCTATAATAACATACCTGGTATTACCCGCTGACACAGGTCGAACCATCTGTTGTGTCGATTCTGTACAAAAGACACATCCATGTTTCGAGTCACTAACTAATATAAGGTTGATCTGCACTTAAAGCTTAGGTATAAGGATGGGGTTTCTATTCTTAGTGACAAGTCAGCCCCATCCAATTGGACAACCTAGAAGCCTCAGTTCTCCAAAGACAGGTTGTTTTATCTATTAGTATATATCAACAAATATCACTATATTGTCTTCATGGGCCTCCAACCTTATATATTCTCTTGGATACGTGGTTCCAGTTTGAAAGAACAAACTGAACTACCAACTCGTTACCGACGACTGATTGAAGTAAAGGGGGTACAGTGTATGACGGTCCATCTATAGGAATATGCAGCAATCATTTCGAGTAATATATATCCGAGGGACCTTGTAACTAAGTACAATGCGATGCTCTGTACTGAAATGTCTGGTGCCAATAGAGTTAAGGCTATGGGTTCAGCGTCAGCCCTAACCAAACCTTGATGCCGCCAGCCGTTACCGGAAACTTAAATTGTTCACCGTAAGCTGGGTTGCATTGGGTGTTCTATTACCTACATTTAGTACCCAGCAGAGCTATATAGCGGGTTTAAGCGGCATGAGTTATTATGAAACTGGGAGGGGCCTCGGAGTAGTCAATGTAGTATTATAGAATTTTGTGTATCATATGCAAACAGGATGCTACATCGTACTAACTAGTTAACTAGTTGCTTAAATCTTCAAGAATCTCAGATACATTTGCAAAAGAAAACTCAGCCATGGTTTCTTCCCAAAGTAGCTCAGCCATCTCTTCGCCCTTATCTGTGTATACGAAAGGTGCCATGCTACCGGACTCGATTAGTATTTTATCATGCAGGGGTTAATGAAGATTTCAAGGCTTACGGCTGTACCGCCCCGTCTTCTAGGTATTGTCCATGAGACTCTGAACCATGATTAACAACTGCATCGGTAATTGAGCAAGCACCAATAGTAGCGGTACGGGCAAAGACAAGTTTAAATATGCCAAATAGAATCCCTTGCAAGCTGCCCTTGAAGTTCCTAGTTAAACTCGTTTGACAAAGACCTGGGTTAGGGGTGTTTATGATGGCGATGGAAGGAAGTAGTCGTTTGGCAAGCTGCGTTAGAAAAAGTTGAGCAAGTAGCTTGGATGTTGCGTAACGATCTTGTGGGTGAAAATTTTCCTCTCTGTCAAAAGCCGGTAATAAAGGAACTGAACCTCGCTCCCTAAACCGGGCCCAGGAAGCAGTGTCCGAGGACACATTTACTAAACGCCCCGGCTGCTGAGCCGAATTTTTGTCCCTCAGCACTGGTAGTATGAGGATGGTGAGTAGCGCGAGTGAGAAATAATTGACCTGAATGATCTCCTCATGTCCAGTCTTCTCGTTAATCACGAATGACAGCCTCGTAAAGGCTGCATTATTGACAAAGAAATTTAACTGCTCAAGGCTTTTGGTTCGCCCCACAAAAGAAACAATGGAATCGTAGCTTAGTAGATCCAGTTTCCAGACCTCGATGGAGTGGTTATTGGCATTTCTTCCGGAAAGTAGCTTTTCCCTTGCATCTTCGCCCTTTGTTTCGTTGCGAACAGCAAGAATGAGCTTGCTTAGACCAAGATCCAGAAGCTGCTGTGCACATTCAAATCCAAGACCGGTATTTGACCCGGTGATAATGGCTGTTTTCCCTGCAAGATCTACCTCGTCAGGAGAGGCCAGGGGTGGCGTGGTGAATAGTTGGCGGTGATAAAAAGCGAGCGAGGTTGCCCGCTTCTGGATAACAGCTGTATCAAAACTTGCCATGGTGAGGGTATTTTTACCTCCCTCATCAAGAGATCAATGAAAGCAAATCAGTAATTATTCGGAGATTGAATCTCTCTTTTTTGCGGATTTGACGACTCAACTGAGGGCAAACGCTTGGCCTGGGAGTCGAGTATTGAGGTGCCCACCTGGCCATTTGTGTAACTTATCCTCATGATTCTCCCGTCTTTCAGCGTCGAGAAACAAACATCTTTGCTACCTGTAATCGTAGACCCGAGTGCACGAATGCTTGGTCATTCGAAACAATGGTCCAAAGTAACTAATATTGATGTCTAATGGTCAGTTAGTTACAGCAGCGCCAATCTGTTTTGTTGAGTTATAATGAGCCCGCAAAACAACACTTAGTAGATGGCTATAAAAATAAACCGGCGAAATACTATTCACTGAACTCATTTCTAAAGGAGATCAGATCCAGGTTTCTCATCTTTCGTTTCAATATCACGAAGCTCGCTCAGGAAGAGGAAAGAGAGAGACCTAAAAAGGGGAAAGTTCTGCTTACCTAAACAGAAAAGCGGCTCAAAGTCACATGGATACCACGTGGAATGTCACATGACGTATTTGCGATAAGCATTGCACTATTCCGTTTTAAGTAACAGCAATCCGGGCTTACATCCCGCCGCCGCCCGAAAAGACCACCTGGCCCGTTGATTCGAGCTTGCGGTTTCTCTCGAAGCTGCGAGCGCGACAACATCTACATCTTCACTCTTCCTCCAGGTCACAGCAACGTCCTCAGCTGGCGTTCTCCTCTCCGGCTTCACTACGACCGGATTGGTGACAGAGCGGCTCCTTATACTCGCTCGTTTGCTCGGAATAGCCTCCCCACCCACCAATCTCGATCTCAATTACTTTTTTTTTTTGCGGGGAAGATCTCACTATTTCTTACCGATATCCTCCTCTCCCTGCGGATCGTCGCAAAGAGCATAGCCTTTGCTCATACACTCGGGCTCTGAATATATACTGTCACTGTCTATATGAGGATCGCACAAGCCGAATTGAGTGGCTGATTTTACCTTTTTTCCGGTTCCCGTCAGCTTTTGACCAGCTTCGATTTGTCAGCGTAAAATTCCCTTGAGGACACGGTACAAGATTGGAGCTCCGAGACTTAAATTTGCGGCCTCTTCCCCTTCTCACGCCTGGCGCAGAGCTTGAAGAAAGATAGACGACCATGGAGCGTTCGTTCCTTTCCACTCCTCAGGAGGTGTTGGCGCACTTCGGGGTGACAGAGGATGCTGGATTACCGGAAGGCCAGGTGGCTAAGAATAGAGAGAAATATGGCTCCAATGGTGTGTAACTATCGCATGGGAGACGGATGTGGCTTGTTCTATTGTCTTGCTAACCAATTGGTACATCCAGCTCTCGAAGAAGAACCTCCGACACCTCTGTGGCAGCTCGTTCTAGAGCAGTTCAAGGACCAGCTCGTTCTCATACTGTTAGGATCAGCTGTGGTATCATTTGTGTTGGCCTTGTTTGAAGAGGATGAGGGCTGGACTGCCTTCGTGGATCCTATAGTTGTAAGTGTTATTTTATGGAATTGTTGGATGCAAGCGCTAATGTACTATAGATCCTTACTATCCTCATCCTCAATGCGATTGTTGGTGTATCTCAGGAAAGCAGTGCTGAAAAAGCTATTGCAGCCCTTCAAGAATACTCAGCCAATGAAGCCAAGGTTGTCCGTGACGGAGCCATCCATCGCATAAAAGCTGAAGAGCTTGTTCCTGGTGATATTATCTCGGTAGCTGTGGGTGATCGCGTCCCAGCTGACTGTAGATTACTCACCATCCAGAGCAATAGCTTCCGTGTTGACCAGGCTATTCTGACCGGCGAGAGTCAAAGCGTTTCCAAGACTACAAATGCGATCAAGGACCCCCAGGCAGTGAAACAAGACCAGATCAACTTGATCTTCTCCGGCACGACTATTGTTACTGGCCATGCTACCGCTATCGTGGTTCTTACTGGTGCTCACACTGCAATTGGGGATATTCATGAGAGTATCACTGCCCAGATTTCGGAACCCACCCCATTGAAGCAGAAACTAAACAACTTCGGAGACTCCTTGGCCAAGGTTATCACTGTCATATGTATCCTTGTTTGGTTGATTAACATCGAACATTTCGGTGACCCCAGTCATGGAAGTTGGGCCAAGGGAGCTATTTACTACCTAAAAATAGCTGTCTCCTTGGGTGTGGCTGCTATTCCGGAAGGACTCGCGGTTGTCATCACAACTTGCCTTGCTCTCGGAACCAGGAAAATGGCTGCTAAAAATGCCGTCGTCCGATCCCTCCCTTCTGTTGAGACTCTTGGCAGTTGCAGTGTTATCTGCTCTGATAAAACTGGAACTTTGACTACCAACCAAATGAGTGTCTCCCGTATTGTTTATCTGAATGAGGCTGGTAACGGTCTTGAAGAGATCGAGGTCGAAGGCACTACCTTTGCCCCTTATGGTGACCTCAAACAACATGGAAAGGTACTCAAGGACTTGGCTGCGTCATCTACAACCATCCAACAGATGAATGAAGTTATGGCCCTTTGCAACGAAGCTGAACTTGCCTATGATACAAAGACTGGCACCTTTAGCAATATCGGCGAGCCCACCGAAGGTGCTCTCAGAACATTAGCCGAGAAAATTGGAACTGATAACGCTGCTATTAATGCTAAAATCAGAAGTCTACCGCCCGCTGAATGTGTTCATGCTGTCAGCAAACACTATGAGACTCGATTACCAGTCCAGGCCACATATGAATTCTGCCGTGACCGCAAAAGCATGTCCGCCTTGGCCGGAAAGGAAAGAAGCCAGAAGCTTCTCGTCAAGGGCGCTCCCGAATCGATACTTGAACGATGCTCTCACGCGATTACTGGACCAAACGGAGATAAGGTTCCTCTCACAAAGAAGCATATTTCGCTGATCCAACAGGAGGTCGCCGGTTATGGTGACCAGGGGCTCCGTATCATTGCTATCGCGAACATCGTCAACGTTCCTGAAACACCCTTGCTGCATACTGCTCAGACCTCAAAGGAATACGAGAAACTAGAACAGAACATGACACTGATTGGTCTCGCTGTCATGCTTGACCCTCCGCGACCAGAGGTTCGTTCATCCATCGAGAAGTGCCGTGAAGCAGGTATTCGAGTTATCGTCATCACGGGGGACAACCAGCATACTGCTGAGTCCATCTGTCGTCAAATCGGAATATTTGGTAAAAATGAAGACCTTCGTGGCAAGAGCTTCACTGGCCGAGAATTCGACGAACTGAGCGAGCAAGGGAAACTCGAGGCAGCTAAGCATGGCATGCTCTTCTCCCGAACTGAGCCAACCCACAAGTCAAAGCTCGTGGATCTCCTGCAGTCAATCGGCCATGTTGTGGCCATGACTGGAGACGGCGTCAACGATGCTCCTGCACTGAAGAAATCAGATATCGGTGTTGCTATGGGCTCTGGAACAGATGTTGCTAGACTTGCAGCCGACATGGTGCTTGCAGATAATAACTTTGCTACTATCGAAGTTGCCATCGAGGAGGGAAGATCCATCTACAGCAATACCCAGCAATTCATCCGCTACCTTATTTCTTCAAACATTGGAGAAGTCGTTTCTATCTTCCTTACAGCAGCTCTAGGCATGCCCGAAGCTCTGGTTCCTGTCCAGTTACTGTGGGTCAACCTTGTGACCGATGGTCTTCCTGCAACAGCCCTGTCATTCAACCCAGCAGATCATGATATCATGAGACGTCCACCACGTAAAAGAGATGAGCCTCTTGTTGGAGGTTGGCTGTTCTTCCGCTACATGGTCATTGGGATCTATGTTGGCGCTGCAACTGTCTTCGGTTATGCCTGGTACTTCATGTTCAACCCAGAGGGCCCTCAAATCTCCTTCTGGCAGCTAGTAAGTTTAACGTATTTCTTAGATAAATTACCAATCTTAACCCCTATCTAATGCTGATCTCTACCTCTAGTCGCATTTCCACAAATGCTCCCGCGAATTCTCCGAGATCGGTTGTGACATGTTCACCAATGACATGTCAAAGTCCGCCTCCACCATCTCTCTCTCTATCCTTGTTGTGATTGAGATGCTGAATGCTATGAACGCTCTCTCTTCCAGCGAATCTCTGTTTACCTTCCCACTATGGAGCAACATGATGCTCGTCTACGCTATCATGCTCTCCATGTCTCTCCACTTCGCCATTCTATATATCCCCTTCCTGCAGAGCTTGTTCAACATCCTACCTCTCAACTGGATGGAGTGGAAAGCTGTTCTGGCCATCAGTGCGCCGGTCATTGTCATCGACGAACTTTTAAAATATATCGAAAGAGCCCTTTACGTGACGCACGTTACTCCTAACCATGAGGCTGAGTCCCAAAACGCATCAAACATGAAGCCAAAAGCGTCATGAAATCTAGTGCAGTGGTGTTGTGGTGGAACGCTCTTTGTACTTTGATGCCCGTCCTATGATTGAAGAATTTCCATTCTTGCAAACAATGTTCTCCAGTCCTGCTATCGCCCAACTTCCCTGCCCAGTCAGTGGAATAATACCATCTCCAGAGCAAGAAGGAGCGCGAGTAAAATGGGTAAGCAGGAAACGCAGCAGGGAAACAGGACGTTGATTTACAAGCTTCTACCGTACTTGGTTTTGGCTTTGGTTTGATATTCCTTTATTTTAGAAAATAGATTATATTTTTATCTATAAAGGTGGAGAGGGGCACGTTTTACTTTATTTTATTTTACTTTTTTTTTTTTAGACCCCTACGAGTTTCCACGAAGTATAAGCTATTCGCGATGAACTTATATAGTCGAGATACCAATGGATATAATTAGACACATTTCACTCGACCGAGCTTATGGTGGATAAAGTACTCAGTCGATTATTTCCGCTTACCAAGCGCCTCTACCAGCCGTGGAGGGACCATGGTAACAGAGGTGATCAGCGCCTTTACCTACTTAAAATAATACGAAGTCAGGGACATCGATGTAACTGAGGTAGCATTCTGATGTCTGGGCCGAGGTAAGGAAGCGAGCATCTTGTGGGAGTGAAGCTGGTGGCCCGCTAGATAAAGGTACTGAATCAACTTCCCTGTCACACGAAGTACCCCTGAACCTAAAAGGAGATCCTAAATTACTTCAAAAAGAAAGGTAGGAGTTAACAAGCGAAGAAGTGGTACTCAATTCGCAGTAAGCTAATAAAATGGAGAACCTAAATACTATGTACTGATGGGGTACATCATAAAGAAATAAGTAATATGTGCAGGGTTTTGATATATCCAAAGGTCTGGCACTCAACCAGTTGATGCGATCAGGTCAGGTCAAAAATGTACTATGAAGAGAAATGGTTGAACGTCAAGTTCGGAGCGAGCGAGCGGATTAAGGGGTATAGAGCATTTACTGGCCACTTCCGTTGTAGAGGAGGCGGTTGGTGGTGCTGGAGCCAGGGTTGCGGATGGCAGCGGTAGCGAGCTGCTTGAGGCGGTCGCAGACCTGGCGGGGGTTGGCGCCCATTCCGATCATGTAGGCACCCATACCAGCGACGTGGGGAGAGGCCATGGAGGTACCGGACATGGTAGTGCTGCCACCACCTGGGCGAGCGGCAATGATGTCGGAGCCAGGAGCATAGATGTCAACTGAAGTAATGTTAGCCTTTAGGTCTGGAGGGTATTATTGAGGAAGAAACATACCAACTGGGCCCCAGTTGGAGAAGGAGGACTTGCTGTCGTTGATGGTGGAAGAGGCGACGGTGCAGACAGCTGGAGCAGAGGCAGGGGAGTAGTTACGGGCGTCTTTCTGTAGAGGGGAAGAATTGTTAGTATCCTGAGCATAATTAAGTACATACTACCACTAGATAGGTCGAACTCACGTTGTCATTACCAGCAGCGACGGCAACGAAGATACCAGCGTTCTGGGCACGAGTAACAGCATCGTTGTTGGCCTGGCTGAAACCACCGCCGAGAGACAAGTTCATAGCAGCCTTTCCGAGGATACCACGCTGTTGAGCATCCTGAACACAGTAATTGATACCAGCAATGATTCCACTAGTGCTACCAGAGCCATCGGAGCCAAGGACCTTAACGGCAACAATGTTGGCGTTCTTAGCAATACCATACGCAGTACCAGCGAAGGTAGATGCAGTGTGGGTGCCGTGACCGTGACGATCAGCGTTATCACGATCAGCGGTGTTAGTACCCCAACGTGCACGTCCACGGAAGTCCTGGTGGTTAATATCAATACCGGTATCAACACCGTAGATGGTGACACCACGGCCGGCGGAGTCGTCGAAGACGTAGTCACGGCTACCGGCCTGTCGGTGAGAGACGCGTCCGAGACCCCAGCTGGGAGCACTGCGCTGAGTGACGAGGCCAGAGATTCTTACGACCTGGTCCTGCTCAACGTAATCGACCTATTTCCCATATTAAAAACTTGTTGTGAAGGAAGAGGATATTCAATTGAGAACAAACCTTGGAGTCATTGAGAATCTCCTCGAGGGTGTCACGGTCGAAGTGGCCGTGGTAACCTCTCCAGTTCATGATGTCGAATTCGCGCTTCATACCCTCAGTGTTGGTGCCTCGCTTGGCCTTGTTGGTGCTGTGGATGCTGGAGACCGAGGAGATGTGGGCCTTGAAGTCATCTTGGGAAACACCATCCTTCATGACAACAATGTAGTTGTCTGGAATCATTTCGCTGTTCTTGTGGCCCTGAGTCTTGAAGACTGCGCGGGCATCGGCAGCAGCGAATGCCGCAAGGAACACTGACAGAGTCTTAAGGCAGACCATTTTGATGGCTGTGTATTAGGGAATGTAAAGGATAGGAGGGTATTCAAAGGAGTGGAGGGTCTCTGTTTGCTGATAGAAAAGAAGAGAGCAAAGGGTATCAAGCTGGAGGGCACAAGAGCCAATTTATAATTCATCCCGTGTCTTCCATCTTCATTTAAGAATAGCACGATTAGAGAGGGGGGTGGCTGTTTCCGCTCTCCTCTGTTACCAAGGCCGACAAGTACCAAAGGATGGAAGTAGGTGTCCCTAGGTTGTCAGGATATCCCTTGAAAGATAGTTCCACCAGTCGAAACAGAAAAGAGAGAGGCCTATATCACGGCAAGATGCGGCATAGTACAGAGATCAAGAGCTGGCCATAGCTGACTCTGCAATACCTCGGCCTTTAAAAAAAGAAAGAAAGCAAAAGAAATTCGATGTCCCTGGGTATCATTTTGCTGCTAGAATGATAGCGGAATACGGCAGGAATACCAAGCACTACCAAGAGTTTCATCCATCATTCGGATGACTTGTTTTTTTCCCCACAGGGTACCGAGTCATTGATTAAGAATTGCCGTTAGTTGGCGACCCCATGGGGTTTTGACAGCGCATGCCGTGTAGAATGCATGGTATGCGCCAAGTGATAGTAGGGTGTGAATATGTCATGATGTTGAGCTTTCTATCAAAGGGACCCCGTTCAAGGTTTGCCGGGGGCCTTCGGGAATATGGCTGATAATAGTGAGTGTCCGAACAGTTGAGAGTTTCAGGAGCAACCCCGTATCCTTGGCCATTTGGAAAACACTGAAACGCATGACTAAAAGCTCGATGTCTACCCTATCAACGTTCATTATCTGAAATTAGGGCATCAAGGGCCTAGGGTGTGGTATGGGGAATATGCGCCATGGTTTGCGATTTTGGTGCTCAGGATGAGGCAATCGATGTTCCCCCCAGGGCGCAAATACGGCTTCTGCACCAATAGGGGACTTCCGTTTCGACTGGCCATAAACGGCGGTTATCCCGGTGCATGAACTATACTCTGGACTTTTAAGAAGCTCGTATATTAGAGAGTTCAAACAGCTTCAAAGGACCTGAGCTAAGTATTAGATACTAAGAGTTGCCCCTCAGAATTGTGATATCAATTGCATGATTCCGTGACTGTTTCCCGTCAAGGGGGCCCATGTAGGGACGGAGAATGTCCTGATAGAGACTGGACTGGCAGAAATGAGGGGAAGCCCTTGGGAGTTAGGCACATACGGCCCCTTTCAACGGCTTTCCTGCATGGTGAGGTATACATGTTTGCTCTTCTCATGTTACCGCTCGTCTTGTTCCGCTCTGTTGATATGTTTCGATAGCGACGTACAAATACAATGAGCCGGATCATCGTGGATCGACGAGATTAGGCGCGAGCCGAAGAACCCGTCGCTCCCAGCTTTAAGATCGGCCTGAAAGATCAACTACTGGGAGAAAGGTCCCAACCCAACCGGACTTTCACTGCTGATCCAGGTGATCCTGATTGAGCTTGTTGCGACCTTCCGAGTCGCTGTCGCTAGGGCTGAATATTGCGCTTTTCCTCTTTGGGTCCGGAGTCCGGGAAAACTTGGCACCGTCTGGTCACGTTACTTGCTTATTAATGTCCCATTCCATCCCGCCATGTCCGCTGCTTCTACGCCCAAAAACATCAGGCCAGACAGGCTGTAATTGGTTAACAAAACAACGAACAGCATCTTTGACGTCTCTACCATCATCCGCCCACGGGACCAACCGATGGCCTGGCTGTCTTTTGCTATCTGCCAGCTAGAAAGGGACAACAGGGGGTCAGGGTTTACTCTCAGGCAGATTATCCGGAGGACCGGCCTGGGGAAGTACCAAGACTTCCCCATTGCAACATCAGGAGAGACTTGCCACCGGCTAAAATTGATTAGCTGATACTTACTCCATACTTGTGTCGACTGGGCCACGCTAATTAAAAAGAACCATGCCTAACGAAATCCACCTTCGGCTTCCATCCAGGCTCTCGTCGTCTGCTGCTGCGACTGCTGAGGCTACTGCTTCTGCTACTTCTTTCCATGCTAGTTCGCCAGGAATATCAAGTACTATCCCGTTAATCGGGACATGGTACGTCCTGAGCTCTTCGGTTGAGTTTTTAAGGGATAAGAAAAACGTGTCCATTAAATATTCCCTAAAAGAACTAGGCCAAGCTAAAGAGGCTGGTGGTAACGTCGTTGAATTTGCAAATGATACTGTCCTTGACTCGGTAACTTCTTACCAATTGAAATCGGGGGCGGATTCTGATATTGTTGATACCACCGTGGGGACTGAAAGACCAACCCCAAACTCCCTGCCTGGTGTATTTACTTGGCGAGGCACCGGCTTCGCCAAGTTTATAACCAACCGATGGGAGATTTTGGGTTATGATAATCTTCCACTTGAGAGCGGTAAGCCTATACTGGAAGGTGACGAGCAACCTATGTGGATGGTCATATATGCGGATAAGTCTATGTTTAGCCCGTCAGGACTAAGCATCCACTCAAAAGGCACCAAGTCGCTTCCGACCCAGACTATGGACCAGATAAGAGCTGCCTTGGGTAATCTTCAACCCAAGGAGTTAAAAGACTCTGTCTGTGGTATGGTTGATATCTTGCAAGAGTGATTTTGGTCATGCTTTTTCCCCCTCTTGTTTTATAATTTCCTCCTTTCACTAAATGATATCTTGCCCTGACCATCTTTTTTTATAGTTATTTATTTCTCTTTCTTTCTTTTTCTGTTACATTCCCTTGTTTTTCGAGTCATTACAATTTTTGGCATTCCTGTATATATACATCGCGATAACTTTTTCCCCCCTCCCCTGCTTCGTCTCATATAATTTACAAATTAATACTCCGCCCGGAGTATATGATACCAGTAGCTTTGTACTGACCAAAGCGTGATACAATTTCCGATTTCTTGAGAGATCAATGATTGTGGCGTTATTCTCTCACCAGTCAGTTTTATATCGTGTATACCCTTCATTTCCACGTGCATGAAACCCCGTTTCATTTATTTTGAAACTGTCTTCCTGGCAGGGCTGGCAGTGAAACACAGCAGAACAGCAACTTGGAAAAAGGAAAATAGAAAGATATTCTAGACTTTTGACTGTGTATTCATATTCATAAAAATCGAACATGGGATCAACAATTTCCTTCCAAAATAAAACAGTAACCTACTTTTGGCAGCCGAATGACTTGGCCCACGCGGCAAGGAAGTCGGTAAATTATCTACGGAGTACGCCGTACCCTTGCAAAGGACATCTATCGGCCCGGACTCAAAATAAAGGAAATGCATACCTGTTGGCGTCTATCATGGTGCCATGGATCCAACAATTGATATCCTACGAAATAGGAATGATAATGATGCTGGTCAATCTCGAATACGTCGTCACTAATCCCAAATCCGCAAATCAAACTCTCTTGGTTACCAAGGTGTCCAGCAGACGATTCAAGTTCCGTTATCAGCTCGCGCTGCTGCTCATTTTAATACTATATCAGATGTCCTTTGGAAAGCAGAGTGGGCATTGTTGCTAGTTATCTCGTGCAGGATCGACGTGTGCCCCGTCCACACATAGGCTATAAAAAACGTTACTATCAACGAACTGGGGTCCCTTCCGGGGACTCATGCATCCTCTCAATTTCTGTTAACTACACCAAGTCACCAACTACTGGGCCGTATACGAAATGCATAGATGTCTCACTGATGATCATCAGCTTGCATGAAAACATTTTCCTCAACAACAGGGAACAGGGGGCGCTGAAATGAAGCTATACCCCAAGGTGTCGGCCTTATTTATCCTTGAGTATCTGATATCAACTCGCAATCGGATGTATTGACCGGGTAGTTGTATCAGAGGCTGTTCCTGGGCTGCGGGTGTGCCATGCCGATGCATGGATTGGCTGCATTGTGTAAAGTGTGACCAAGCCAAAAATCACAAAATTGACCCAAACCCTGGCTGTTCTCCCTGTCTGCTGGCTTCGTAGAGTCCCAAGAAGAACAGCTACATATGGAGAAATAAGAAGAAGACTCCACCCAGAGTATGAAGCTTCCACCCAGATATGTTAGGGGGTGTACTCCATATCTTCAACTTGATATAATTACGTTCTTCCAGACACGGCCACGTGCGAATGCTATGGATTACCCTCAACAACGCAGAATATTAGGTCTCAAGGGAACCGTCGTTCTTGGGTATCAACACCTCTGAAATACATCCACATCCATACCCAGCCAGGCTCCTGTTGAATTCAGGCTTCCCTGGGCAGAGAACTGCATCGCATCCTGGGTTATATTAGGTAAGTGATAAATCTTTTCCGCGGGAACAGTGGTGTCATACGAAGCAAGTAATTTGCTTCAAGCACTATCGTCCCATGTATGTACATGCTCCCAAGGTTGCTATCTCTCTGTTGACTTCATAAACCATAGACTAAAGGGCGTATCGTTGCTGGACTTCCATGGCAAGACATGAGATCGAATAATAATAATAATGGTTAGAAGAATCAGCAGATTGATATCCACAGAGATCGACACTACAAGGTATAAGTCACCCAATATAGCATATAACGCAGGTGCCATATGACGAGGATAACTTCAATTGGTGCTTAGTGCTGCGGGGATCGACATACGTATATATACGATGCTGAAAAACAGTGGAACTGAGAGAGAAAAATTTTCAGAGTTCAGGTTCAAAAGCAGGCTCCTGCCCAATTGGGAGAGAGAATATTTTGCTGTGAGTATTCGCTTAATATATAAATGGATGGTGGGTGTCATTGATATATCGGTCGTTACGCCTTTTTCGTGTACATGGCACCACCGACAAGCGAGAATACATCAGGTTCATATCAAAAGTCACACTTAACCCTGAGCGGCAGAAGGAAATGTTCTATACCCAAAGGTCAAGGGAAGTGACTCTTGAAGCGAAACAACGCATCTTAGAATGCGATTGGCCGTACAGATCCTTGTCCTTTGTATGCTGTGAGCTGTTACGCTGGGAAAGTTGCCATCAAGTAGAGGGGGTTCTGCTGGTGCCGGAGTTTCAAAATTTATTTGCCTGAAATTGTGAACCTTTCGGATAAATTGGATCAGCGAATATCCAGCACCGGATACTTGATGACAACTGGAGAAAGAGTTGCTTTCCCGTTAGACGGTATATATTTGATTGTAGTGATGTGTAAGGGTGGCCCGAGAGAAACGAATTTTCTAAACACCGAAGTCACCAACATTATCGGTCGGGGATGAGCATTTTGATGATACTAAATGGAATAATAGAGTCATCTTGCCCAGAATTCACACGGTACATCAGTGGGTAAACATATGCCGGAGAAGACCATATCATGAATGCACAAACCCATACAAAACCAACACATTTCTCCAAAAGGTAGCTTCCGCGAGACCTATCTTTGACCATGAAGTTGTAGTATATGCTGACAACTATATCTTCAATTATAATCCCGAATGCTTGAGTGAGGAAAAATCTTGCTGCCCCAGAACTAGTTAAGGATAGGCCAGATGCCACGTCAACTAGAACATGCATCAATGCAGAAACCGCAAATATGGTAACCAGCCTTGCATATCGGTATAACTGAGTTCCACGAGAAATACGTAGGACACGTTGCACGATAAAGCTGGATACAGAAGCGAACTTAGCCGCATTGGTTTGCTGCCAGAATACTCTATGGGAATGGATTAGCAGATCGAACTTTGTTGAGAATCGGCTAAATAAAAGGATCCAGATTTCTTACGCCCATGTTCTTCTCAATGTAAAGGCCTGCGAAAGAGATCCGAAGTATGGTGGCCATTCCCGCGGTTCGCTGATACCCAAAAGTACACTAAGAAACCCAAAAAGGCTGTAAAAGCTTCTCTGGACGCATATCATAATTAATCCTGAGATAATGGTGTTTATCACCCGCATCACTATCTCATCGCCCGATATATTCGGCAACCGGGTGAAAAACGGAACATTTTTTTGAGTAAAGTATTTGAGGTTGGTATCTATATCGACCTTGAATGTAATCAAATCAAGAAAGAGGTAGCACGCAGCATAGAGAAAGGCTGTCCATATCAAGAATCTAGATCGAGATGGGACATACTCCGGATCCTTGTCACTGAACCATGGTACATTCCTCACTTGATAGGGGGTTCCAATATGGCGAAATGAACAAGTTGCGGCAAGACCAAACTTCAAACGCTCCCAGGTATTGTCCGTTCGACCCTTCTTGGGATAATTGGGTATATTTTTACCGGTACCAGGGTCTGTTGATGGACCACCAGCTTCGAAGGACCAGCCTCGGAGTAGCACGATATCAAGGTAGTGCAGAAAGAACGTAATGGTATACGCTCCTACCAATCCCGCCCAGGGACATCGTATCATGTAGTCCATGCTGGTGGCGATGCATCTAAACGTGCAGAATGTGAGGATCGGTGCCACAGCCTGACGAGATATGGAAGACGGCCTTGTGAAACCCACGGCAAGGGCGGAGCTAGCAACCACCGCTCCACCGAGAAGAATTGGATGTATTTCCATGTTCGGGTATGGTTGAAAAGCGGTCAGCATAAATTGTAATTAGTGCCCAGGGGAAAAGAGATGGATGCTCTTTTCTACGAAGGGTAGGAGAACTTCCTTTTTATACCCCTTTATCGGCGCCTTATACTGATGAATTGACACTTTTAGCTTGTGGATATAGTTGAACCCAACTGCATCGATTCCATACATCAAGCTTTCTATTGGTGGAACAGGTCGTTGAATTGGGACTAGATTATGAACGCGACTTTCTTAGTCGTGAAGGATCAGACGTTAGTTTTTTTAGCCTTGTAGGATGCGGCATCCTGCAACGCAACGTGTTTTGTGTAACTTGTATTTTGAAAGATCTATCATTAGCGCGTGAGTACTCCGTAGACATCACAGCTCAGAGAGTGGAAGTTGACAGTCTAAAGCGAAAAAGTACACCAACACTTGGGTTGCATAATCTGGGATTCAGTTTCTTATATCGAAGAACGCATCAAAAAGGGACGTAAATGGTAATGAAGGAGTAACTGGGGATTAATAACAGCAGGCTGGTATCTAGCTGGGGCTCTTAGCCATATTCCTCTGGTCATCAAAATTCCAAACGTAACCCAAAACCAAGGTATCAGGGACCAAAGCAAACCAAAAGTAAAAACAAAAAACCTAACAAAGAAAAAGGGCATAAACGGCATAAACGGACATTGAATAACTCTAGGCAAAGGCCTTTGCTAGTGACATCAACCCGCTGATACCACCAGCTATTCCTTCTCCGCTGAGAGGGTCATGACTACCGCCGCCACCACCACCTTTGGATAGAGCTGCTAAGCCGGGTATCCTGATTCCGACTGAGGCCAGCAACTTCTGCAACACCCCGCCCGTTATCAAGGGCAATATAACCAGGAAAAACACCTTCATCGGATGTCTCTTCATATAATGCATGATGTCCCTGAACAACTTCTTGATCTTGCGCATCATACGATGAACATAACCAGCCCGAGGCTTCGCGCGGCGGGACGACGAGCCAGCTGAAAAGATTGACGAAGCCATTGAGCGGTTTGCGTGTGATCCAAGTCCAAAGATGGAGCCCTCCGAGGGACGGGTGCTTCCGTTATGGTGGCTGTGGCTATAGCTGTGGCCGTTACCGTAGCTTGAGCCGACGACGGACGAAGATGAATGGTGGTGACGGCGTTCTTTGGAGTGAGACCGATGGCTGGAGCTGTGACCGTGGCGGCTGCGGCTGCTGCTGCGTCGATGGCTATCTGATGGCGCAAAGGGGTACAGAAAGCTCATTACTGGCGAGAAGTCTCCGCCCAAGGGGAGGAGCCAACAATAATTAGTAATTGATGGCTGTCTATAGGTGTAGCTTTTCGGAGTCGACTGTCGTTGCTACTCGGGAGATGGGTACTCCGCAATATGTGGTCGTTATGGGTATGTCAACGAGGGTGTGGATGGAGTATGGATTATCAATTTGACTAGATAAACAGATAAGGGGTCCCCTCTACCAAGGAACTGGCACTGGCGGTGTAGCAGGTAAACACTAGAGGAGAGATAACTAAATAAACTGGCAAAGAGAGCGAACTGTCCTCTCGACGCAAAGTGGGCCTTTTCCCGCAGGCCAATTGCACGCAGCAGCACCGTCTCACTGCCGTCTATCTCTAACCATCTCGCGCAAGAGAAAGATGAAGACGGAGGAGTTGAAGCTGAACTCGAAGTCGCTTTCTCGTTGCTTCTTTTTCGGTGGCTGGGAATAGCTTAGTCATCATAGGGAGGCTCCGACTCACGTGATGGACCCCAGCGCCTAGCCGCGGGCGGAAATAACGTCATAGGAGAGCGCTGTGTTTATATAAGAGCACGAGGGCTGGAAGCAAGCCAGGTCACAGCACGGCTATGAGGTGAAAGGGACAGAAAGCGCATTCGTTGACTGGTATCAATTGTATAATACCTTCGTTAAAATATGGCTGGTAAGTTCTCTACTGGCAGAGAGTTGGTGGGCTCTTCATGGTATCTAGATACAGACTGATTGCTAACCGGGCTCCAGACGAGACCTGTGACTACTGTACGTAACCACACCTCCTCGGGTCGATTACTTGAAATGTCGCTGTTCAATTATAACACGTGGCTAACCCGAATTTCTGGCAGTTGAACTCCTGGGGATTCCCCAAGATGCTACCTACGAAGAAATTAGAGAAGCATACAAAAAGTTCGTTCTATGAAGATTCTACAGCAGTATAGCGAAAATGGAGGTACTGACCCGAGCAGAGCAGCGTTAAAATACCATCCTGACCGTGTCCCTCTCACATCTCCCGAACGACCTGAACGAACAAAGAAATTTCAACAGGTGAACGATGCATATTATACCCTAAGCGATAAGAACCGGCGAAGTGCCTACACTACAGCGTATAACACTAAAACGGGCTACTTTAAAAATGCATACGCCCCACCACCTCAGTCGAATGAGTACTCGGCTGAGCAGTTCGGTGACTTCTTCGAAGAGATGCTTCGGGAGAATGGCATGATGAATGGGGGCCGTGGAGGCGTTGGAGCCGACGATCCCGGAAGCAAAAAGTATGACCTGAATGTGAGCGGTGCATGGTTTTGGTCTATTATGGGCGCGATTGGAGGTGCAATCTTAGGCTTTATCATTGCAAACGCCGCGGGTATGGTGGCTGGCATGGTGCTTGGCAATAGAATTGGTGCTATAAGGGACAGAGAGGGGAGGAGTGTTTACTCTGTGTACCAAGATCTGCCTGCATCAGACCGAGCCAAGCTTTTGAGCCAGTTAGCTGCGAGAATGCTTCGCTCTACTGTGTCTTAAGCAGTGTCTTCACAAAGTGCTCAGCCATCAAAGCAAGGGGTAATTATAATTGACATTTTTGCCTTGTCTCCTGGCATGGAAGTTTAATATAAAGCATGTAACAGTGACAAGAACAAAACCTCTTTTCAATGGGTATAGCCTATGGACTTCCGATAGATAAGCAGAGGTTTCAAAATGTCAACGTCTATCGGATGTTCGGAGCATTCCCGTCCATAGATCAAGTAGATCTATAAATAGAGCAATAACACTAAGGTTGACTCTTATAGACGCACTGACCAGGCATTGCTCTGCTGTTGTTCTGCTTACTAATTTATCACATGACCACGGAGTCCTCGGGCTCCATGGTCACGTGAAGGAACTTACGGACTCCGTGGTCATGTGACCGTACCCTGGCTTGTCCGCCGGGTTCATCCGCCAAGCCCTGTCAGCCACGAAAACGGACCGGAGCTTGGCGCGTTCTGGCCCCGAGCCAAAGCATCCATGGATGGAAACAACCTCACCTTAGGTAAGCAATACTGTCTGCCAGGATCACGACAGGATCAACAACGAAAAACAACGAAAAAACAACAGGCGCCAGGATGGCGGCGGCCTGAAGGATTATTGCACTCCATATATGGAGTATGCAGATGGCCACTTAGGCCAGCAGTACGGAGTAAATCAGGGGATCACTACAGTCATTATAATTATCATTTGTGAATATATTCTAATCCATCAACGATTAGGACTTAGTATCACGAATCGACAAGCTTGAGGCGAGGGAGGAGAAGTACCTAAAAATTAGGGCGAATCTTCAAATTGGAAACATGATATCGAAGTCTGCCACTATACCAAAAGGAGTGAGCACACACTAATGGTAGGCAGAGCTGAAGTTTGACACATGCTTATCACAGTTTGCAACAAGTTAACTTACTAAGGATACGAGTGACTCTGCAACAAATAAAGGTGCAAGTGATTCAACAAACCGTGCTATACAGCGTGGCCGTGACGCGAAGAAGAAGGACCTTGCCAAAGCAGGTATTCCCTCCAAGTTTTGGCCTGCGATCCAGGACATGGGACCGGTATATACTTCTATATTTATATACATCTCTACTCTGCTAATATATATTATAGATATCAAGCGCGAAATATATCCGCGCATGAATCATACGAGTAGTTTGAAGAGCCCTGTATGCAATAGTATTACAACGAATGGAGTGGTTTAGTTCCGATAGCTTATGGGGCCACGGCCGAGGAGGTCGCGGCGAAGAGTGGGCAGTTTCTATCAACGAATATGTCCGAAGTACTTCAAGTTTATATATTATCCTTACTAGCTAGTATTATTAAATATTACATCCTTTGTTAATCGAATATTTTGGGATACCTTCCCCGATTTTACACGCTATACCGAATTGGGGAATTTGGTGAGCTCTAGGAGTACGGAGTACTCCAGTCGATATTGCGAATATAGGCAAAAAGAGACCCAGCGAAGACATCAGTCAACTTGGAAAGTCGCAACATACGCCATAACAGGAAATCGGTGTGAAAGTCCGCCGGACCGGCCAAAAGACCTCCCGCGTCCGATGACACTGGAGGCGACACCAGGGGCTGGGGCCTAACCTTACAGACGCGAACTCAAAGGCATGGGGTCAGAGATCAGAAAAGAAAAGCCACGCTGACGTTGGGTTGGTTGTACAAACAAAAGAAGGGTGAGCATCAGGCTGCTTGAGCGGCGATCACGCAGATGGCTTTTTCTGGGCTCTCGCATTGGAAGGACATTCACCAAAAAGGCACATGGCGATTCTCTGTTTCACGTCCGGGAACGGCTTCAAGCTGGACCCGAACGAGCACGATTCAGTACGGAGTATTCCATACCTGAATTAGATTACGAGACTGAAAGGGTTCGTTAACCGTATTATCTAGGCAGCAGCTTAAGCCAAAACCTCAGCGGGACACAGCTATTCGTCTCCAGACTTTTATGCGCTCATTCGGCCTCATCAGGCACGGCGAGAAAGGCTGCACTGCGTACGAGGTGTGGAGGGATGCATGGCGACACTTGGCCCCAGGCGTATGCTACTCTTGACCATCGGGGGAGAGGGCCAGCCTCACACTTCTCCACGAGCGTGGTGACTTCTCTCTCACCCCTTAAGGTCCAAGGGAAGACGACTGGGATGGCGGCCCCGTTTCTCACACATCCTTCGCAGCTAATCCGAAGGCGTCATTGGCTTATTTGCCATTAAAGTCCAGACGTTAGCCTTAGAGTTTTAGCTTTCTTCTGGGTCTATTCTTATCCCCCTTTTTTGTTTTTTTTTTTTTTTTTTGTCAGCCGAGATTTTCAAGGATCGCATCTCGCTTCTTCCGTTCCCGGGGCTACTGGCGGAAGGATGTGCAGAAAAAAAAAATGCATGAGATATAAATCTGACTCAGATCCCTCTTGGATTTCTTTTGTCCCTTTTGGTTTTGTTCGATAGCCAGTTTTATTTTTCTAACAAAGAATAGTACGGAAGACCTGGGGTCTGGGGGTGTCGTCACTCACATACCTCTCTGCACTATCACCTGTGAACCCTGCCCTGCATAACACGAAAGGGGGTGAAGTAATCCAACAGCCATGGGCCTTTTCTCCAAGACCCAGACGACGAGCGAGCTACCTGTCAAGGAGACAGACGTCGAATCCAGCGCCACTTCTGCACAACCTAGCAAAGGCCCTTCGATCAACGATCTAAGCGACGACACTAGGGAAGCTAGCAACATGACTGAGAAGGGTGCTGACGGTGCGGACGGCCTCACCAAGGCGAAGAGCAATGCCGTGTCAGAAGACTATGAGACTGTCAACCATGTTACCGGGTTAAAGCTTGCAGTCATCGTGACTGGCCTGTGTCTCTCTGTCCTTCTCGTCGCTTTGGTAAGTTTATCAGCCCCAACATACAAACTTACTATGCGTAGGTCAATCTCTAATATTGCACGACATGTCAGGACAACACCATTATTGCTACCGCCATTCCCAAGATCACTGATCAGTTCCATGCGCTCGAAGATATTGGCTGGTACGGAAGTTCGTATCTGCTCACTATCTGTGCCTTTCAGTTGATTTTTGGCAAAATCTATACTTTCTTCCCTGTCAAATGGGTCTTCTTGATTGCCATCACCATTTTCGAAATTGGCTCCGCCATCTGCGGTGCTGCGCCTAACTCGACCGCCCTTATTATCGGCCGTGCAGTTGCCGGCATTGGCTCCGCCGGTATTTTCTCCGGCGCCCTGATTATCATTGCATACTCCATCCCGTTGGAAAAGAGACCAGCGTGTAAGTTTACTTTTTTGTGTTCACCGTCGCCTGTCTTTGCTTTTTTTTTTTTTTTTTTTCATCCAGAGCCTGCTTTAGTTGGCCAACTGTTGTTGAGGTGTCGCTAACAAGCAAGCTTTTTTCAGACACCGGAGCTATTGGAGGAATGTACGGTATTGCCTCTGTGGCAGGTCCCCTAATGGGTGGTGCTTTTACCGACCACATCTCTTGGAGGTGGTGCTTCTACATTAACCTCCCAATCGGCGCTGTTACCATTCTCTCCATTCTCATCTTCCTGAAGCATCCCAAGCAGAAGCTCGACAACAATCAGACATGGAAAGCTCGTCTTTTGAAGCTCGATCCTATCGGAACCGCTTTCTTCATGCCCAGTATCATCTGTCTCCTACTCGCTCTTCAGTGGGGTGGTACCAAGTACCCATGGAACAACGGCCGCATTATCGCCCTCTTCGTCGTTTTTGCCGTCCTCATTTCAGGTTTTATCTATTTCCAGATTCGAGGTGGCGACTCGGCCACTGTTCCTCCGCGCATCCTGAAGAAGCGTAGCATTGCATCAGGCGCATTCTTCCTTTTCACCATTGGAAGTGCTTTCTTCATCATGGTCTACTACCTCCCCATCTGGTTCCAGGCAATCAAGGGTGCTAGTGCTACCAGCTCTGGTATCATGAACATCCCCATGGTTCTGTCTCTTGTTGTTCTCTCAATCGCGTCCGGTATCACCGTCACTGCTATCGGCTACTACGCTCCTCTTTACTATGTCTCTACCGTCCTCACTTCTATTGGTGCTGGCCTCCTTACCACCTTCACTACTGAAACTAGCAAAGGCAAATGGATCGGTTACCAGATCATCTTTGGTGCTGGTGTTGGCACTGGTCTCCAACTTTCCATCATTGCTGCCCAGGCTGTCCTTCCACTTGAAGACGTTGCCGTTGGAACCGTCATCATGATGTTTTGCCAGACGCTTGGAGGTGCCCTCTTTGTCTCAGTCGGCCAGAACGTCTTTACCAACCTCCTTGTTAAAGGTGTCGTTAATGCTGCTCCCGGTCTTGACCCCCAGGTCGTCCTTAGAGTTGGAGCCACCCAGTTGAAGAACATGATTCCGCCCCAGTTCCTCGATGGTGTTCAGGTTGCATACAACGACGCTCTGACCAAGACTTGGTACGTCGCCACAGCCCTTGCGGCTCTCAGCGTTATCGGTTCCGTCGGTATGGAATGGAAGAGCGTCAAGGGGAAGAAGATCGAGCCTGCTGCCGCATAAACAGGTCAAAAGGGCATCTCTTCTCCCCCCTTCCCAATTATTTTTAATCCTTGTGGGCATGTGATACCCACTGTATCCCCGCCTCTCTCCTCCCCGCATTATCTTCCGAAGGCAAAACATCTCAACTATGCTCTTTTTAATGCCGCATATTCACGATATATGTGTCTCTTTTTTCTATCTTGTCTTTTCATACTGCCTCCGGCATGGCATTCGAACCGGGATATATCATGGCGCATCAGGAGTTTTTTCAAGAAGGCTGGAGCGGTCTTATGACGAGGGCGTCTTGCTATTTCATGCATGGCCCGAAAAGTGTTCTTGATTCATCATACTGTCTTAATAGATATACATAGTCTAAACTTGGATATACATATTAGTTGAAAACTCCGTCCATCTGCTTTTCTATCTTTGTCTTTTGCTACACCTCCACATAAACAAGGACGCGTCACATGACTAATTCTTATCGATAACAGCCCCGTAACTACAACAAACACGGCCCCAGAGCCCCGCCATCTAGCTAAAGTGGACAACTATCAACTCTCCAGAATCTAACAGCATACATAACCGACCAGTTTGGGATCAATCGTTCCATTGCATCAATTGGGCCATAATATACAAGTTGTCCATATAAAATTATCGCCACGATGACTACCGAAGGTGCTAGCCTGTACCCTTCCCTCGAAAACCGCCCTGTAAAGAGCACTATCTGCCTGTTCGACGTTGATGGCACTCTTACACCTGCTCGACAGGTATTTCCACCATCATTTCATCAATAGAACTCTCTGAATCGCTTTCTAACTGCAAACCATACAGGGTGTATCCCCCGAGATGCTACAACTTCTCTCCCAGCTCCGACACAAGTGCGCCATTGGCTTCGTAAGTGGTGCATCATACGCCTGCAGCACCCAGCACAGGAGCATCCGTTATTAACCGTCCCCTTTACACAGGTTGGGGGCTCCGATCTCGTCAAACAACAAGAGCAACTGGCCACCCCTGCTACAAATGTCACATCCCTGTTTGATTTCTGCTTTGCTGAGAACGGTCTGACTGCTTTCAGACTCGGCAAGCCAATGGCTAGCAACAGCTTCATTCAGTGGCTTGGTGAAGAGAAGTACCAGAAGCTCGTCAACTTCGTCCTTGGATATATGTCCAATTTGACCCTTCCAAAGAAGCGAGGTACTTTCATGGAATTCAGAAACGGCATGGTCAACATCAGTCCTATTGGACGAAATGCCAGTGTAGAAGAGAGAAATGAGTTTGAGAAGTATAACCTCCCTTGGGTAGATGACTTGGTTTTGTGGAGTTAACTAAAATATTCGATATAGGTATGACAAGCAGCACAACATCCGCAAGACCCTGGTCGAGGCTTTGAAGAAGGAATTCCCTGACTATGGACTCACGTAAGACTTGGCTGCCATGAATGAGTTTGTTTTCAACATATATCTGATACAGGCTTATAGCTACTCCATTGGAGGACAAATCTCCTTCGACGTCTTCCCCACTGGCTGGGACAAGACCTACTGCCTTCAGCACATTGAAGCTGAGAAGTCCATCTCTGGAGTTGAATATACCACCATTCACTTCTTTGGTGACAAGTGCTTTGAAGGTGGAAACGACTATGAAATCTTTAGCGATAAGCGAACTATTGGCCACTCCGTTTCTGGACCACAAGATACCATAAAACTGCTCAAAGAGCTGTTTGGCTTGTAGATATATCTAAGCCATATGATGATTGGCTTAGCTTCCTTTTTGTATTAATGATAGTTAGAGACTATCTAACCTGCAGATATGAAGACTATTTCGGCACCGTTCCACAATTAGCCTTTCATAACCTCGCTTCGTGTCAATAACTAGCCCATTCTATTGATGAATCTATGAAAACTCTAAAAGCGGCGATGAGAAGATGACATAATCAGAATCCACAGATCACGTGCCGGGGTTTCTTATCGATCGAACTCTGTAAGGTTTTCCGCATGTGCCAAAACTTCCATCTATTCCCGAAGGTCATCCGATCATTCCACAGGCAGAGACAACAAGGCACTGCCTTGAGCCATCAACAAAGCACAACTATGCCTAAACTACAGCTTGTCGTCACCGAGTCGCCGCGCATTGTGAGACCCTCCCGGCGTCGCTCAGTCGAAACCTCCCTTCGATCCATCTTTCTATCCGGAAATAGCTCCCAGCTAAACAACCAACGTCTCTTACCCCCGGCATCTTCAAAGTCCCTTCAACTCGTCCCATCATACCAGCGTCACTTTTCATCGGTATCCTATCGGACGTCATCTCATTTAATACAAAAGCATGCCGTTATTCTTCATCAACAGAGCTCTCCGAAGCTCCAGGAGACTACCTCCGGGTCAATCCCGATAAGGCATAATGGCGTCTACGTAGCGACGTTTAATCCGGCTCGAAGAGCTTTCCATCAGACCGCGGTTGTGAAGAAGGACCATCATTTTGATACACTTAAGGTTGTACAGCGTCTAAAGAATGAAGGGTTCAGCGAGGAGCAAGCCGTCGCCCTGATGAAAGTTATGTCGGATGTTATCGAAGAGTCGATGCAGAATCTCACACGGGCAATGGTATCAAGAGAAGGTTCGTTCGTTTTACACTTAAATCTCAATGAACGTGTACTGTTGATTATGGATATACGCTGACTACAACCCTCGATAGATGCCGAACGTTCCGCGTATACCCAAAAAGTCGATTTTGCTAAACTCCGCTCCGAACTGTTAAACTCGGATTCAACAGAGGCACAGCTTACCCGCTCGTCGCATGATAAAATTGCGGGAGACCTAGCCAAACTCAACTCTCGATTGAGAGATGAGATAGGCCGAACGCAAGCTTCTGTTAGGTTGGATTTGAATCTCGAAAAGGGGAGGATACGTGAGGAATCTAATGGACAAGAGATGAGGATAAAAGAGACAGAGACCAGAATTGAGCAGGAAGTAGCTGGTGTTAGGGAAAGAGTTGAGGCCGTGAAGTTCTCAACTCTCCAGTGGCTAATGTAGGTTGCCAACATTCCAGAAATCAGGGGCACATCATGCTAACTTGCAACTTAGGGGTGTATGCACTGGTACAGCGGCTTTGATACTCGGTGCCTGGCGTCTGTTGATGTAGGCCTTATCAATGCCTCAACCTTAGGGGTGAAAGCCATCTCTGCCTACGATGATCCTCTCTCCCTATGCTCAGTTGTTCTCCCGCTCTTTCGCGCTCGTTTTGGTTTTGATAATTTAACGATTTGGCACCTGTACAACAGAAAGCTTCAAGGCGATAGACTTTCCTTTGTTCCAAAATAAAAAAGATTTTGAGCGCTACAGACGCTAGTCTATTTTTTTTGAAACAAGATGTTGACCAGAATTCCGGCTAATCGCTAATAACAATCACCTCTTCCTCCACGGCCAGTTTTGACAAGGTATGGTCGTCTTGAGCTTTAGCAGCTTGCCCTATGGAACTCATTAATCCGGCGTGTTGTGCGAGGAATGCCTGGATAGCAACAATAGGAATGCCGTGACGCATGCCAGTCTGATCATCCCAAGAAGAGTGCAGTCCAATCAGAGTACCATCAGCCTCGGCAAGCAAAGGCGCGCCCGAGTGGCCCCAATATGTCCAGGCATCATGCTTCATCTGGCCTATCTCAGAATTATCCTGCCAGTCGCCACCGGCTACCATCCCACGGAATTTTCCAGTGGATAACTCCACAAAATCAAACTTGTTTTTCGTCGGCGTACTAGATTCCAAATCGTCCACTCCCGGTTGTCCAATGCATATTATAGGACTATTTACTGCTGGCCTTTTCGGTGCTAATTGCATAAATGGGAAAGAACAAACAATGCCCTCTCCATTCCGACTAGCATCGGCCTCGATAGCAATGATCTTGAGAAGAGCTAAGTCTCTTTTTGCATCCCAAGTTAACGCATTCGGCCTGTACTGCCAAACCGGTATAGAATAAGAGCCAGCGACGTTTATCTGACGTCTGCAGTTCTTTCTCTGTATCCCCGAAGCAGTGTGCACATGTTAACGCCCAGCCGTCTGATCCAATGCAGACTGCAGTCCCGGCTTCATATTGGGAAAATATCAACGTTGCTTGAAGGCCATTATGGACATATAGGTTGCCTCCACCCAAGCAATCCCTTGCCTCTCGGTCCAGGGAGGCTTTATCCGCTGCTAGTCGTTGTTGCTTTTGCCTTAGAAGCTTCTGCTCCGATGCAGTTAAGTCTGGAAGTCTGGACCCTGTGGGTATGACCTTGAGAACATTGCACTGGCGCAGTGAGTCAGGCGTCGTACACTCCAGCCCTGCCAAGCCTAATGTTTTGCATGGCCCGGACTCAACGACGGCTTTAGCTATGCTAGATCTCAGGTTACGCATCGTCATGCATTAACTGAGTTGTCTGCGGGGTTCTGATGCGGTGTCTTTCTATCAGGCACATTATTTTACACAGCAGTGTTGAGAGAGCAGGCAGCCATCAGATGAGATCGAGAAGCCTTGGCGAGATCAGCAAAGGCGTCAAACAAAACTTCAGGCTGCTCTTTACACGTAAGTTTGCCTCTAGTGTCGCCTTTTTCGCAATATTTTCGTCTCTTAACTTAGAATTTTCGTCAGAAAGCTGATTAATTTGCTTTGCAGGTGCTTGAACTCGTCTGTTCTCTCTTTGTCTCGTTCTTCTTCCTATGCAGGTATATAGACAATGGACACAGCTTGCTTATGTCATAAACGATACCAATCACGTGATACTACGTCATCCATGGATCCATCAGGCTCCGCCGATTTCTCATTGGCCAATTGATTAGATTTAGCCACCCGCCATTAAATCGAACGTCATAACGTCAAACTGTTTTCTGGTGCACACTAACGATGGGCAAACCTAACACTCGCCAGTGATATCGGCTACGCTGCGGTTCACCTCAAATTCTTCTCTCAAACCATGTCGAACTTCTATCAAGATACCAGTGTTCGTTCGACTCATCTCTCACTGGAGTTTGGACTAAACATCTTGTGGTTATGGCTAGCCGCATGCGTCCTATATCTATAGGGTCTCGGATTGATCCTGACTCTGAGGATGGTGAGTAGTGCGCATACTATTTCCTCTCTGTATCAAGCTTTTCTAACGGCTTTTTTTGATATGTTCAGCTGCTAGTGCAGCGGCATTGTACGTTACGAAGCCGGAGAGAACAGGATTTAGAACTTCAAGCGGTATGCAACCTCCAGGTATGAGGAAAAAGGGAGACAGGGTTGAATGATGGGATTATCCTGAGCAATTTACTAAGGTGTCTACTTGGGTGGTGATAGGGCTGCGCTCTGCGAGCAGCAAGCGGTCTTCGAGAGAAGCCGGCGAATATGACCTTGCACCTGCTAGTGCGGCCGCAAGCTATGTAACCCGTGGGGGACACGCAAAACCGGGGGTCACTAAGAAGCCTGATGCATCATTCCTTGACAAGCATGAGGAGGAGCCAGCGAGCTCTATTGGCTTAAAAGCCGCCTATAGATCCTTTCGGGATAGCGGGGTGTCGGGCTTAGGCGATGACAATATCAAAGATGAGGGCCCAGAGGCGAGAATGGCAGCAACGGGCGCCATGTATTCAAGCCGAAAACAGGTGGAATCGATTGGGAGTCCTCCAGATGGGGTTTCTGATTTAACCGAGGCCCTTTCAGCGGCAACGATAAGCCATCGCGCCTCCCGACATGGGAGGCCCACCGCGGAGAAGAAGGTTGAATTTCAACTAAGTCCCAAAAGGCCCTATAACCCAGCTATTACCAATGCTCGAAGAGAGATGTATACCTCACACCCACCGGTGAGTACTACGATTGAAGAAAGTCGGAAAAGGGATACCCTACAAGCTGCCGCGGTTTCGATGGCAAAGCAGATGTATGCTATCATACCAAAAGAGGACTCAGCCAAGGATATGGAAACCTCGAGCTTCACTATGGAGGAGCCAGAGGAACGAGCACCCCGTCATCAACGTCCTTCAAGTGGAAGATATCAGCGGCCCCCTGAAGCTAGCACTATGTATGAAAATAATCGTCCCCGGTCCCAGCAGTATTTTACCGCAACCAAGGTTCGGCCAAGCTCTGAAGGCTTCACTGATCGTGGAAAGTATGGTGATGGTTCGATCAAGCGGGCTCGCACTCAGTCTAGGCGAGACAGGAATGAGGTATACTACGATGATGAAACCATGGATGCTGCGCAGAGGAACGTCAAGAGGATGATGGACAACATTGATAATCACATCTACAGTTATCATAAACGCCCATCACCGGCGATTATGAGAGAGTGGGAGCGTCATGCTAATGAGCTTGTGTTGGCAAACCGGGAATCCACTGCCTTTGTTGATGTTGGCCCCGAACAAATGAGAGCCGGCGCACCGCTACTCCCACCGAGAAACGTGGATGATATGGCAAGAGCAAGGGTACGACCGGCCTTGCACAATATTGATGATGAAGTGGCAGAACGAAATTCGAGAAGGATAACAGAAAAGCTGGACGAGGAACGCTATCATCGTTTTATTAGCACCCAGATGGAGCGAGACAAGGAAGTTCGCCGGCTTAATAAAAAGATAATAGGTATGGATCTTTTTAACCCTGCGTGTATTGGAAACACCTGCTAATAATGAAAGGTAGATATCATGCACCACCCTGAGAAGGAAAGGCGATGGAAGCAGAAGAAGAGGTCATACGACAGATATGAGTCGGACGAAGAACCAGTGTCAACATGGCCATACCCTCCCAAGCGAGTGCGCAGTGAGGAAGGAAAGGGTGAAACCATACTGCAGGCTCTACAGGAAGGTGGAAGAATCCCAGACCGTCCTTCACGCCCATACTCCTCTCCAGAAACGGTCGAGAAACCCTCTGAGCCAATCAGTCTCCCAACAGAGACAGCTGAAGCTGCCGAGACTACTGAGGCTCCTGAGGCCCCTAAAATCGCGGATGGCACCGAGTTAACTCAAGAGGCACCCACTGCTGAAGAAGCAACCAATGAAGAGACCGCTCTTACTGAACAGGCTGGGTCCCAGGCGAAACACATCCGTAGGCAAAAGGCTATCCACAAAACTTGGTTCACAAAACCACAAGAGGATGCTGCGGGAAATGAGCCACCCCGCGAAGTGGAGCGAATTGAAGAACGGATAGTGACTGAGATAGAGAAAGAACGTCCCGCAACTCCTGATCAGTCCACGGCTCCAATGGCTTCAGGGGCGATAATACCCGACAGTCCACACCACGCGCCATCGAGTCATTGGAGCAGCTCAAACGAGGGATCTAGCCACGGGAGTCCTGGAGATCAGAGACAGGAGGATGGAACCAGGCCCAAAAAACGAATGGCATTCCCGCATCTGTTCCAGCGGCCTGCTAGGCGAACCGGAAATCAGGGCTCATTCACCGTCAACAGACGCTCTGTGCCAGAAGACCTAGGCTCTCAAACCAGCCCTACTCCAGGAGAGGCAGGAAGCGGAAGCCCGGCCACAGCTGGATCTAGGCTATCTAGATTCCAAGAAAATCTTTAAATATGTTTATTCTATTATCGATTTATCAGGTTTGTATACCCGTCCACAACTTGGGACTGTTTTTGTACTTTTAGGATATTTCGGGACTTAAATAGGATTTTTCGGGCTTTAAATATAACAAATAAGTGTTTTTTGCAATTGAGAGCGCTTGAAAGGGACACTTTCAAACCACAGAGCTATTATCACGTATTAATTATCACTACTCATGGGGTCAATATAGTCCTCCCCTACGCTGGGAAGAAGGAATAACGTTATTATTACGTCAGCCTTCGGACTTAAGGTTAGAGTTATTATTAAGCATCAGGTTCCCGTTTCTTGGCACTGCGGTTTATTTTTCTTTACGAGGTTTCATCGTTGATTCCCAGCGAACCAACTCTCTGCAGGAAAATCCGGGGTTCTTGTATACGGAGCAACGCCGACACGCGACAGGGCGTCAGGAGGCTGTAGGAGAGGACAGTCGATTGTTCATTACCCTGAGAGAGTTGGAGAAAAGGGAGACTGATCGAGGAACTATGGTCGACGTTGTACTCCGTAAACCAAGCAATGTTGATCCTTCTTCACGCAAAGCCGCAATTCCCTGCCAACACCATGATCCTTTGACGCACATAAGATCTAAGCGACCTCTCACGGGATGAAGACGTGAGGAGAAGTCCGAAGCGCGGATCCTCTCCCGTTTGATTCAAGTTTCTAACGACGGGTACGGGGTTCACTCCATCTGAACTACTTATTACATTAATAGATATATTACTCAATCTCCATTTTCTCTGCGCCACCCTCTCATCTGTCCTCATTATAGCCAGTTACTTGGAAATCGACTGGTATAGTTTGTCTCCTTTTCAAACACCGCCATTGCTATCAAAGCTTGCTGCGGCTCATACCTCAGAATGGGTGTCATAAGCTTCCTTCGAAGCCGCCATATACGAGCGAGAAACGATCAGGTCACCAATGCCGCCCAACTAACACTACGTCAGAGCCTGTGGCCGCTCACTATTGTGACCATCCTATTCTTCCTATGGGTTGGTTCTATCTTGATCATTTTCTGCCCTGGAGCGGGAATCAAACTCTGAGTGCTTTTAGGGTTTTGCGTACGGCCTGCTGGACACTCTCAATAAGCACTTCCAGAACACGCTAGGAATCACGCGAACCCGTTCATCAGGACTACAAGCTGCATACTTTGGGTATTTCTCTCCCTTCCCAGATAGAGCTTACGGTGTTGATCAAATATATAGGGCGTATCCCCTTGCTTCCCTTGGCTATGCTAACTGGATGCTCCGGAACTGGGGTTATAAATCTGTGTTTATCCTGGGGTTATCTCTCTATGGGATTGGGGCCCTCTGTATGTGGCCAGCTGGGTTACATCAATCATTTGGCGGATTCTGCGGCGCAACATTTGTCATTGGCTCCGGGCTGGGATCTCTCGAAACTGCTGCAAACCCGTATCTTTCGGGTACGTAGCATCTATCATGCATGCCAAACATATCCTTGCTAATATAATGCGCGGTAGTTTGCGGTCCACCAAAATATGCCGAAATCCGAATCAACTTTGCTCAGGCTTTCAACGCCATTGGCACAGTTGTAGGACCTGTACTTGGCTCGTATGTATTTTTCACTACAACAGCTGATAATGTCAATGCGCTGCAAAGAGTCCAATGGGTTTATCTTGCTATTGCAATATTTGTCTTTTGTCTTGCAGCCGTTTTCTATATATCCGATATCCCGGAGGTGACAGATGCAGATATGGAATATCAGGTTGCTTTGACCCACGTTGAAGATAACAATGACTCTTTCTGGAAAAAATACCAGTTGTTCCATGCCGCATTTGCCCAGTTTTTATACGTGGGCTCGCAAGGTACGTATTATTAGTCTCTT